CCTCCTCCTCCACTTCCCAGCGCCGTTCCCCTTTCCTCGGTCGCCCCCGCCGTTCCACGCAGCAGGGCCGACACTTCTCGCGCCGCTTCAGCGCGCTGGAGTATGGTAAGCAGGACGCTGTTGCCCCACTGTCACCTGAGGGCGACCACAGCGACGACCTCGATCTCTGCGAGGCCGTCCACTATCACTTGGAGGACTCGACCCTCCCTGCAGCTGAGCGCCTTCAGCTCGCGCTCTCCGCCCTCTCTCGGGCACGCAGCCGCCCCGGTCACTCTGGCGCGTCGCCCCCCGAGGTCCCTCAGGAGGACCTCCCTTAGGGCTTCGTCCCTCCTCGCGGTGTCCTTTCCGCTGAGGAGCGCGCGGCTATTCTGGGCCGACGTGGGTGTTTGCGCTGCCGCTTGGACGGTCATACGTCCTCGCGATGCCCTTACACTACCGCCCTCGACCGCCACTACGCTGATCTTTCTCGTCAGCGTCGTGCTCAGTCCCCCCCCGGCGCCTCACGTCCCCGCGGCGCCTCGTAGCCACGGTGCAGTGTACACCTGCGCCCTCCTCAGTAGTGGGCTTCCCGACATCTCCATCGCGGTTTGCCCCTCTCGCTACTGGAGTTTAGGTATCGCAGGACTCGACAGAGTGTACTCAGCCCTCTGTTGCAGTACCGTCTGCGCCTCCGTAGACCACTGTCTCCCCTCCTTCCCCGCCGCGACTACCGACGCGTCGAGCCATTCGCTCAACCCGTTGCAGCGAGCAGCTTGCTACTCGCGAGGACGTTGTGTCCTCTCTTCTGGACTTGAGCATGCTCCAGGCTCGTCAGGAGCGACTCACCCTCCATGTCGCTGCACTGCTTCGCCTTCTCGCCATCCTCTCTGACCCTGATCGCACCCTCCCGATCATCCCAGTACGACTCGGGACCTCCACGAGGGTGTACTCAACGCTGTGGGATTCCGGTTCTCAGGGCGACTTCATTCACCCACGCGTGGTGAAGGAAGCCCGCTTACCCACGACAGAATCTCCGACTCCCATCTCCGTTACCCTAGGGGATGACAAGACCCAACGCTTCTTTGATCAGACGGTCACCGACCCCCGCTTCTTCCTCACCTTCGAGCCGACTGATCGTTCCCCGGCGTCTCGTCGCCACCGCTCCTCTGCACATTTCGATGTGAAGGAGACGGGGTACGACTTCATTCTCGACACTCCGTGGTCTCGTCGGTTCCGCAGCACCGAGGCTGATTGGGCGACCAACACTCTCGTTCTCAAAACGAAGTGTGGACAGACGTATCGCGTACCTTTCATAGGTACCACGACGATACCGCACCCCGATCCTCCTCCCCCGGAGAGTTCAGTACCCACACCACCCCCCTCTATCACTGTAACCTCACCTCGGCAGTTCGCTCACTTCATTCGACAGGAGGACATCACCTTCTTTATGGTGGACGTGACGGATCTCTTACACTATGATCCACCCTGTCCCGACGCCGAGCTCATCCCTCTGGAGCCAGATCCTCCCTCTATCTCCATGACTCCCATCTCTACTTCCGTCCCTCCGCCGTCCGTCGAGTCCACCTCGCCGTCGGGCGGTGACGCTGACGCTGAGGAACTCGCACGATATACGGCTGACCTGGAGCCCGCAGTTCGTGACCTCATCGGAGAGTACCACGATGTTTTCCCATCGTCGTTCTCGTACGCCGGCATCCCACCGATGCGTGACGTCGAGCACTCCATTCAGCTTGTGCCTGACTATCGTGTTCACCACCAGACACCCTACAGACTCTCGATTCCCGAGGCCACCGAACTCAAGCGTCAGCTTGAGGAGCTCCTGAGACTGGGTTTCATTAAACCCAGCAACTCCCCATGGGGTGCACCCGTCCTCTTTGCTCACAAAGCGGATGGAACTCT